ACTCCTGAAGTGGCAACAGGCTGGCCCTGGTGTAACGCTGAGTGACCTGGGCCTTCTGGCCAGAGCTCTGGGCCAGCTGGCCTGGGCCCTGGCAAGGGGTGGCTGCCCTGCTTGCCTGTCTGTGGTCCCCAGTCTCCCAACCAGGACTGCAGCCCTGCACTGGCCAGAGGACACCCTTGATGGGTCAGGGCTCTGCCCTGGCCTTGGTGTGGGCAGGAAGAACGGCCAGGCTGCCCCGTCAGCATTTGTGTCCCAGCCACTTCCGGCAGGTCCAAGGTCCTATGACTCCGTGATGTGTTGGAGTGGAAGTGCCAGCCGGTTCCCTGTCCTCACTCCACAGGGAACCTGCTGTTTTCTGGCCCAGCCCTGCCGGGGCCTGTGGAGGGCAGGGTGTGAGGAACAGGTCAGTGCCCACAGGGGAGCATGTACCAGGGTGCGGCCCTGAGTCATGGCACTCTTGCTGCTCTCCGGCTGGCTGGCTGGCCGACCCAGGGTGGGTTGACCCTGGGTGGGCCTTGCTGAGCCTTGTTCCCGTCTCACCCCGCAGCTCCCAGCTTCCGGCTGAGTCAGAAAAGGGAGCTCAGCGTGGGGCTGGGGTCTGAGTCCTTCACACAGCACTTCCTGCCAGAACCCCACACCTCTGGGGTGGGGAGCTGACATCACCCCCACCTCCAGCTCCCTTCCTGTCTCCTTGGAGAGGGTGTGGGCCCAGGAGCCGAGCAGGGTGTGCTGGCTGGAGCTTAGGTCGCAGTTGTGACCCATGGAGAGCCCGAGGACCTCCCCTCCCCAAAGTGCCCCTGCCAGGGAGCGTCTGGGAGTGCAGCACAGGCACGGGCAGGCCCTGTGCAGCAGTGTACACAGACACGGCATGGGCACAGGCAGGCCCTGACAGTCCGCCCCCCTGCAGGTGATTCCAGGCACCTGGGTGCTGGGGCGACAACACCACTCACACCACCACTCGGTACAGAGCAGCACCTATGCCCCATGTCTCCCCATCCCAGCTGGGTCTAGCTTGCTGGGCCAAGGGAAGGGGCCGGCTCTCCAGGTGGCCCTTTCCCTCCAGCGCCTGTTGCCTAGCTGGATTTTCCTGCAGGGCTTTGGGATTTTGTTTCTGAGGTGCCCGAGTGTTGGTCACGAGCCAGCCCCCATGCCCACGTGGGGAGGACGTGTGCAGGGCTGTTTGGAAGCAAGCACCCTGTAACTGCAGGTTATTATGTATATTATTGTTTACGTGCATAATCTCATTTCTTCTCATAACAAGCAGGTGAGGCCAAACGCTATTATTGGCCCCATTTTACAGATAAGGAAAGTGAGGCTTCAAGAGGTTAAGTGGTGTGTTCTGTGGCACACAGCTAGTGCCTAGCTCTGCTGGCCGCGGGCCCGGGCCAAGCTTCCACGCCCTCCCCAGGGCCTCAGCAGGGTTGAGCTGCCACCTGGGCCTTGGGCTTATCTCTCCGACTGACTGGGCAGAAGCCAAGGGCGGGCCCTGTGCACCCGCCAAGATGAAACGCCCCCTCCTGCTAGGGTGGAAAAGCACTGGCCCAAGGGAGCCCTCCCAGGCTTCCAGAAAAGGTGGAGGGATGTGAGAAGACCATGGACCCGGGCAGTATCTGGCCCTGGACTCCATCCATCTTGGAGACCCTGTGAACTTGCATCTGCTGGTATACTCATGGTATGTCCACAGTGGGGCCTGCCTGATACCTCCACTCAGTGTGGAGAGTGTGGTCGGGGACTGCCTGGCTCAGACCCCCATGCCTGGGGAGAGGAGCAGTCCAGATTGTCAGGGGGGGCTGGCCCTGGGTCAGTGATTATCTCTCCAGATGACCTGCCTCACCCCTCCTGTGCTTTGCAGAAGTCTAGGAGGTGGGATTTGGGAAGGTGGCCTCCTGGACTGTCGCCACTCCAGCTTCTTTCTGTGTAAGTTACGTTCTCTGAGAGATGACCAGTCACTGGTTATTTCTTTCTCTAGGCGCCCACAATTTGTGAGTGCACCAGGCAGGAGTCTGGATCCAAGAGCTCCTTGCAGGTCTCCCACAGAGCTGCTGTGTCACCCCTGCTGCCTGCGAGGATGCTCACATGCAGGAAACTGGAGCAAGGAAGCAGAACCACAACTTAAGCCAAGCACTCTGGTGGAGGGTGTGGGTGTCCCCTTGATCATTGGGCCAAGCACCTGACCCTGTGTGCGTGTTGAGCTCAGCAATCACCTACAGATCACAGCCACCAGAGGCAAAGGGCCTCCCGAGGACACCATTGAGGAGTGGACCTTGAGGTCAGGCTGCTGGCCAGTCCCCAGGATTGTCAGCTCCGAGCATAGAGAGCAAGCACTGTGCCTAGGTGCCCAGGCCGCCATGGATCAGAGGAATAAGGGAGGACCCTTGTGCTGGGAGCTTGCCTTGGGCTCTGGGGTACAGCACTGATGGGAGGTGGTGAGGGAAGGGAGCCCGAGGCAGATGCCTACTGGGTGCTGCCACCTTGGAGCAAGTTGTTTGCACCTTACTGCTTTGGGAGTACAGTCTGGCCTCCAGCAAGGTGTGACTTCCTCCATACCTTCAATGCAGCCTTTTTTTTTTTTTGGAACATTTATTGATTTGAAAGTCAGAGTTATAGAGGGAGAGACAGAAAAGATTCTTAACCACTGGTCACTCCCCAAACAGCTGCAAACGCCCAGGTCACAGCCAGGAGCCAGGAATCAGGAGCTTTTTCCAGGTCTCCCACATGAGTGCAGGGTCCCAAGGTTTTGGGCCACACTCTGCAGCTTTCCCAGACCATAAGCAAGGAGCTGGATAAGAAGTGAAGCAACCAGGACTCTGACCATGGAGTCTCAACATTGCAGGCAACAGCTGTGGCTGCTATGTTGTAATGCTGCCCTCTACATTCTCACTTCTAGCTCTGAGTACATTATGTGACAAAATTCCCAGCCCATATGTTTCCCACAAACTCCTGTGATGGCCACTTGCGTGGCCATCTCCCCTTAGAAGTGGGAGGGTGAGGGGTGGTCTCAGAGAGGCCTCGGGCCTATGTCATCCTGTTGGTGCAAAACACCATCCACCTCGTGTCTCGGCAGGTGGTTTCCTAGCCTCTTCCAGCAGCACCAGCTGCCCAGGAAGCCTGGTCAGCGTCCTGCCCTTGGACAGCGGAGCACCGTTTTCCTTTTCTCTTTGGCCACTGGGAGGCTTGGAAGCGAGCACAGCTCTTGCGAGCTGTCCGTGTGCCCGTCTCCTGCCTTACTGATCTAGGCATCATCTCCGGCTCTGTGTTGCTCTCCGCTCCTGACTCTAACATTCATTGTCTCACTGCTTTCTCCCTGTGGAACGAGGCTGAGGGTACGTTGGACACCTGCTGTGTGAGTGCACCTGATGCTACCTCCACAGCTGCTTGGCTGGCATGCTGCCCCTCCGCTTCCTCCGCCGGTGAGGCTGTTTGCTCAGCTGTGCCCACTGGTCCCCAGGATGGACGTGGGACTGCTCGGGACTGCTTTGGGCTTTTCTCAGATGTTTAGAATTCTCGAGTTGATTGCTTTCCAAATGCATCAGTCACCCAAGGCATGAACGGGGCCCCTGGTAGACAGGTGGATGTTTTGCTCTCCGTTTAACTTTTCTCCTCGCTGTCTTTCACATTGCTCAGGTACACCCTCTGCTTGTCACAGCATCCAGACCCATGGCCATGGGAAGCAGGAAAAGTCTGCTGCTTACGGCCCTGTCCTCAGCCCTGGCTCTCTGCTTCACTGTGCGCTTTCCTGAGTTTCTTTTTCCTGTGTTTGTGTTTTTCCCTGTAATTTTCAAGCCTTTGTTTTTACTTTAGTAGTAAGCCATTCATATCTTTTTGAAGTTTTATTTATTTGAAAGACAGTCAACAGAGGTGGTAGATCGGAGAGATATATCTTCATCCACTGGTTCACTACCTGGGCTGATCCAAAGCCAGGACTCGGGAGCTTCCTCCGGCTTTCCCACCTGAGTGCAGGACACAAGGACTTGAAGGCATCCTCCACTGCCTTCCTGGGTCATGAGCATGCAGCTGGATCAGAAGTGGAACAGCAAGAACTCGAACTGGTGCCCATATGGAATGCCAGTGCTACAAGTGGAGGATTAACCCATAATGCCAGATTGCCAGCCTCAGTTTATTTTTTATTGCATACTTCTCAATGACAAGAGGTATTTAAAATTTTAAATACATATGCATGTTTATAGACATAAATACATATATATATCCGTATATATATATACACATAAATTAAGTATTAAAGGGCTGGTTGTGAAAAACTAAACACTTGCACTCTCCCCCATGTGGGTCCGGTTGGTTGGTGTTCCATGTGCCCCTCTGGTCCCCTTCCATGACTTCCGTGGATGGTGACCTTGGCAGGATTCTGCAGTCATAAGCTGTGACACCGCCATCCGTTCACTTTTGCCCTAGGACGAAGTCACAGTCTCCCCGCTCCCATAATGACAGCCCCGCCCGCTGCCATGTGTTGCGCTTGTCTGTGCTGTGAGTGCCCAGCCCCCGGAGGTGGCTGCTGTGCAGCCAGAGCAGGCTGTGAGGCCTTGCCTTCTGCCCACGTCTCATGGCACGCAGGGGAGAGCTGCGAGTATTTTCCTTTCTCTGTCATATCATGTGCTCAACACCCATGGCTTCATGCTGATTGCAAGCTTCCTGTAGGGACTGTGCCCTTGCCGCACAGCTTGGTCTTCGTGTGTCTCTGGACTTGCTGATGTAATCTTGGGCTGCCCCGTAGCATCCCCAGGAAAACAGCCTTGTTGCTTACTCTCACCCAGCTCCCTATGGTTGGATGGCAATTGTTAGCGGTCGCACGTGACTCCGAGTGATGCTGCTCTCCCCATTTGCATCTGCATTTGTCTCTTGAGGAATGTTCCAGTGCAGGAGGATGGCACCTTCTTGAACCCATCCTCTTGCCCTGCCGCTGACCCGCCTTGGCTTGAGCCAGTCCAACCTGGAGGTTGGTGTGAGAAGGTCCGCCCAGGTAATGTCCGTCCTCCCCTCCCTAGGCTCTGAGAAGCGGCCAGTCCTCCGGTTTGAAGCTGAGAACATTTCCAACTACACCGCCCTTCTGCTGAGCCAGGATGGGAAGACGCTGTACGTGGGCGCCCGAGAGGCCCTCTTCGCCCTCAGTAGTGGTCTCAGCTTCCTTCCTGGTGGAGAGTACCAGCAGGTGAGAGGAATAGGGAAGACGCCCATGGGAGAGGGGAGAGGCCCCGTGCCTCATCCACCCCCCTGCCCCCTGACCTCCCCGTCTGTCCCCAGCTACTGTGGAAGGCGGATGCAGACAGGAAACAGCAGTGCAGCTTCAAGGGCAAGGACCCACAGGTGAGCCGGGACCTGGGGCAACTGGGCTTGCAGAAGGGACGGGGTGGAGGCCTTGGCAACAGGTGGGTGTAGCCTCAGCCAGGTGTGATGCAAGGGTGTGGGCTGCTGAGCTGGCCCCACCTGCTGTGGGTGTCTGCTCAGGGTTTACTCGCCCCATGACCTTGGGCAGGAAGGTTCATGTGTCTGATCCCTGCTGGGCCCCTGGGTTTGCTGGGAGGATTTTGAGAGCTAAGAGGCACCTGGCACATGGTGTCAGCTTCCAGCCTGAGCAGGCAGTGGGTGGGCTGAAGGTGGGGCAGGTCTGGTTGAGGTCAGCGCATGGCAGCAGGGGGCCTGCTCCAATCCACATCTCATGGATTAACCCTCCCCACCTCCCACCATTCCCAGAGGCCTCCTGGTGCCCAGTAGAGCCAGTTGGAGGCAGTCAAGGTGAAGGCAGGAATGGGCTGGGTTCATGGTCACACACAAGTTCTAGTCCTGGCTGCCTCCACCTCTCACCTGCTGGGCACCTAGTCTGTACTCATGTACACACATGCACCAGAGATACAGTTGCGGGAAAGGAAAAATATTTATTACGACAGTAACACATAAGATGGCCAGGTTATGTATAGTTACCAAAGGGTCATTAGTGCCACAATTTAGAGGAGGTGAAGGAGAAGGAGTGACACTCAGGCCTTGGCGTAGAGACCTGGGGGAACCCATGTGGGGCTGAGTGGAGAGGCTGGCGTGGCCTTATCTGGGTCAGAGTCAGGCTGGCCAGAGAAGGGCAAAAGGCTGTGGGGGTCATGCCATCCAGGGCAGTGTCGGTGGGGGGAGCAGCTGGATTTGAAAGGTGTGATCACCGGGGTTTCCACATGCAAGAGAGGAACGGGGGGGCGGGGTGGACCACAGAGCTGGGGCCTCAGTCCTTGGGGTGGTTGAAAGGTTGCAAGCGGGGAATGGTGGGACACCGCCCTCCCTGCTGGGTAGGCGTGGGTGGAATGGGCTGGAGGATGGGTGGCACAGCCTGCCCTGGATGTTAGTGGAAGATGTCAGCCAGTGCGGTGGAAGCCTATGCCCACCCACCCCCACAAGAGGCTGACCTGCCAGAGTCGGCTCAGGCCAAGCCCCCGCCCTGCTGAGCATGCCCTCTGCTCTCTCCTGGTTGCTCAGTTCTTCTCTGGCCTGGAGCTGGCAGAGAGGGCTTAGCAGTACCCCCTGGTGGTATACCGGGGCTGGAACCTGAACCCAAGCGCCTCACCTTGCCCGCCCTTCCTTACAGCGTGACTGCCAAAACTACATCAAGATCCTCCTGCCACTCAACAGCAGCCACTTGTTCACCTGTGGCACGGCCGCTTTCAGCCCCGTGTGTACCTACATTGTAAGTGCTCAGACCCACCCTGCCCCAGGGAGCTGCAGGGGGTGCGGGGATGGGAGAGCCTTGGGGATCCTTGGAGGCGGCTGGAAGGCATGGGGGAATGCTCATGGTCACTCAGGCACGTGGACCCCATCTGACTCCTGACTTCCTGTCACATCTAACTTCTAACTTCTTGTCCTCCATTTTGCTTTTTTTTTTTCCTTTTCAAGTTTTTAGTTGACATCACACTTGTTTATTTTTATGGAGTACAGTATGATTACAAAAAAAAAAGTTTATTTTTGGCTACTTGAAAGGCAGAGAGAAATCTTCAGTCTCCTAGTTTAATGCCCACCAGGCCTGAGCCAGGAACCAGAAACCGTCTCCAGTCCTCCATGTGGGAGGCAAGGCCCAAGCCTTGAATCATTGTGCACTGCCTCCTAGGACTGAAAGTGGAATAGCCAGGACTTGAACCAGGCCCTGCACTATGGGATGTGGGCACACCAAGTGGCAGCTTAGCGTGTTGAACCATAGTACTTCCCCCACTCCAGAGTGCTTTTGAACCAGGTGCACAGGTCATGGGCGAGGGGCATGTGGATCCAGCTCCTGGCGTCCCTCCCAACCATGCCCTTCCTCACAGCATGAAGCCATGGATGGGGCACCAGCTTTGGAGCCAAACACCCCAAGTCTGAATCCTGTCACTCTCCTGGTTCACATTGCTTTCTGAGCTTTGTCCATTCCTGGCTGGGCTTGGGAGGGTGCAGCCCCTGACCACCAGGACCAGGAGACAGCAGGGCAGGGCCAGAGACCTGGCACAGGACAACCTCTGGTGCCCGCCCAGAGCTACTGCACTGGCACTTTCCTCCACTGCCCGGCATGCCCTTAGCCCCCCAACCCTGTCGCCTTTGCAGAACTTGGAGAATTTCACTCTGGCACAGGACCAGGCGGGAAGTGTCCTCCTGGAAGATGGCAAGGGCCGCTGTCCCTTCGACCCCAACTTCAAGTCCACAGCCCTGGTGGTTGGTGAGTATCAGGCGCAGCAAGTGCACAGGGTCAGCTGGCTCTGGGCAGGGGTCCTCAGGCCCACACTGATGAGTTCATGCCATGCTGACCACCAGGGGCCAACACCCTCGAGGGCCACCCTTGGCTTTGGCCTTTCCAAGTTCCTGCTTGTGTCTATGCCTAGGCAGTGCCAGAGCTGCTGTGTGCCAGGGGAAGGGGCTGCACTGGGGGTGCCTTTCCCACGGGAATGTTTTCTTGGCAGACGGCGAGCTCTACACCGGAACAGTCAGCAGCTTCCAGGGGAATGACCCAGCCATCTCCCGGAGCCAGAGCCAGCGCCCCATAAAGACGGAGAGCTCCCTCAACTGGCTGCAAGGTGAGCTGCTTCTGTACCCCACCCAGCCCAGGGACTCAGAGGGAACCAGGCAGGGGGCACCCACAGGGCCCCAGGTAAGGGGCACTGTCCCCTACAGGGCCTCACTCTGCCCATGCCCTATCTTCTGCAGACCCAGCCTTTGTGGCCTCAGCCTACATCCCCGAGAGCCTGGGCAGCCTACAAGGGGATGACGACAAGATCTACTTCTTCTTCAGTGAGACCGGCCAGAAGTTCGAGTTCATCGAGAATACCATAGTGTCCCGCATCGCCCGCGTCTGCAAGGTGAAGGGGCTGGGCCCCTGGGGGCCTCCCTAGGATGCTGGGTAGCTTGCACCTGTGCCCTGAGCTGCTAGGTCGCCTATACCTGTGCCATGAGAGGCAGCTGGGCTCGTGGGCTTCCTCTCTGCTCTAAATTGATACTGCTGCTAATGTCTTCTTTAAAATGTGGAAAAAAAAAAAAAAACAAGAAAAACTACACACAAGTCACCTACTACATAAAGCGGGACGCAGCACCATGGCTTATGGGATTCTGGGTGGCCAACGTACGGCATGGCCATTCACAGTTCCAGCTTCGCTTCCAGTTCCAGCCCCTGCTAATGCAGATCTCAGAGGCAGCCAGTGATGGCTTAAGAGCTTGGGCCCCTGCCACTCACATGGGATACCTGGATGGAATTTGGGGTTCCTGGTCCAGGAACTATTTGGGGCATGAGTGAATCAGCAAGTGGAAGATGGATAGCATGCAAGCTATTGGTGTGGTAGCCCTGGGCCACAGCACTGGTGCTGTCCTGGGCATGTCAGTGTGCATGAGAGAGACACCACTCACCTACTGGGGTGCCCTCGCTCCCCAGCTTGCTCAGTAGTTCTAGTCCCCTGCTCCTGGCTTCTCTGGGGTCCATGTCGTCAGAGCATGCTGCCTGCCTGTATCCAGGCTTTGGCTGGCTTCATTTGCCTCTCATTCATGGTAGTGTCCTGCATGAGCCATAGCTGGGGTGAGTCAACAGGGTGGTCTCCCTTGGGGCTGCAGCCCATGGCCATGGCTTGCCCTCCCCACTGCAGGGTGACGAGGGTGGCGAGCGGGTGCTGCAGCAGCGCTGGACATCCTTCCTGAAGGCACAGCTGCTGTGCTCACGGCCCGACGACGGCTTCCCGTTCAACGTGCTGCAGGATGTGTTCACGCTGAGCCTCAGTCCCGACGATTGGCCCCAGACCCTCTTCTATGGGGTCTTCACCTCCCAGTGGTAAAGTCCCCTCCTCCCCCACTGGAGCATCTGGGAGTGGGAAGAGACATGGTGCTGGGCACAGGTTTACCCCCAAGAATTCCAGGGTTCATCAGCTGCTTCCGTCACAGGCACAGAGGCACCACGGAGGGCTCTGCCGTGTGTGTCTTCACCATGGAGGACGTGCAGAATGCCTTCAATGGCCTCTACAAGGAGGTGAATCGGGATACCCAACAGTGGTACACCGTGACCCACTCCGTGCCTACGCCCCGGCCTGGAGCGGTACGTGCCTGGCTCCGCACCCTGGGGCTGCTACTGGAGTCCTGGTTTTGTTCCCTAGATCGCCCCGTCTCCCAAGGAGGGACTATTCATTTAGTGAGGTGACCACTGCTTTCACCTGTCCTCCCAGCCTAGCAGGCTCCCCTGAAACAGACCTTAGGACATGCGTGGGTACTGGTGGTGTCTTTGGGAAGGGGTCGCAGGCAGCAGCCAGAGGGAACAGGAGAGTGAGGGTGTCAGGGTGGCCAACATAACTTCTGGGGCCCCTGGAGAGAGCTAGCCACCCTCGAGATTGGATCAGTGGGAGTGGCATCAGCTCCAAGCCACACTGGGGTAGGGTCACTCAACGTCAGTTTCGAACAGACACTTGAGCAGGTGTACCAACTGGCTGGGGCTCCATGCCCACTGCCCCAGGTGGGCTGGTGGAGGAATGTGAGGGACCAGGAAAGAGGGGTTCCCACTTTTACACACCATTGTGTGTGAGAAAGTGCTCCTGGGTGGACACCCTTGTCTTCAGGCCTTCAGATCACTGCTGCCGCTCCCATTCCCCATTCCACGATGGCAAAACGTGTGCTGTGGCTGCCAGGACACTTCCCCATGCAGTCCACAGAGCACACTGGTCCCATCCCGCCTGCTGCCTCATGCTGCCACCTTCCCCTGCAGTGTATCACCAACAGTGCCCGCGAGAAGAAGATCAACTCATCCCTGCAGCTCCCAGACCGTGTGCTCAACTTCCTCAAGGACCATTTTCTGATGGATGGGAAGGTGCGCAGCCAACTGCTGCTGCTGCAGCCCGAGGCCCGCTACCAGCGGGTGGCCATCCACCATGTGTCTGGCCTGAACCGTACCTACGACGTCCTCTTCCTGGGGACCAGTGAGTGCCAACTGCGTGGCGGCATGGGAAAAGCAGGGAGGTCACAAGCAGTGGCAACTGCTCTGGGTCTGATGCTTGTTCTTGGTGCAGGTGATGGGCGGCTGCACAAGGCAGTGCGAGTGGGTGCACAGGTGCATGTCATTGAGGAGCTACAGGTCTTCGAGCCAGGGCAGCCCGTGCAGACCCTGCTCCTGGACAAGCATGGGGTGAGTTGCAGTGGGAGCCTCATGTTCCCCTGACCTCAGCAGGGTAGAAAGAAGGAATCCAAGCTATGGTATGGGGTGCAGGAAGACAGTGGAGGCCCCTGGGATGTGGCCTGGGTACTGGCTCCAGAGCTTGTGCCAACCTCTCACCTTGGCCTGTGGCCACACAGGGACTGTTGTATGCGGCTTCGTACTCAGGCGTGGTCCAAGTGCCCTTGGCCAACTGCAGCCTCTACCAGAGCTGTGGGGACTGCCTCCTCGCCCGGGACCCCTACTGCGCCTGGAATGGCTCCAGCTGCAACCACATCAGTCTCCACAAGCCAGAATTGGACTCCAGGTGAGAGCCCCCAGGTTCCCCTCCTGCCCCTCTGTTCATCAGCCAGTATCCCAGGGCACCTGCCCTCAGCTCCCTGCCTACTTTACATACATGCTGTAAAGTATTCATTCAGGCAACAGGCCTACCTCACCCACCTGTGCTGTGGGCACATGACTCTCACAGCTGAGAGGCGTTGGAGATGTGTCTCCATAACAGCGAGAGCAGTGGAACAGCCCATGAGCAAACCCATGTGGATTAGAAAATGCTTATGTAGAAAATGGGGCAAGGGCCAGCACTGTAGCACAGCGAGTAAAGTTGCTGCCTGCCATGCTGGGATCTCATATAGGCACTGGTGTTGAGTCCTGGCCACTCTACTTGTGATCCAACTCTGCTAACATGCCTGAGAAAGTAACGGGGGATGGCCTAAGCGCTTGGGCCCTGTCTTCCGACTTTGGCTGGCCTGGCCAGCCCATGTGGTCATTTTGAGGGTGAATCAGCTGATAGAAGAGCCCTCTGTTTTTATAACCCTGCCTTTCAAATTAAAAAACAAAATCACAAATCTCAAAAAGCGAATAGGGTGAACACAAACCACAGTGATTGCTTCTACCACCTAGAACACGTGATGACATTGGTTCTTCTATACGCATGTGAAGTAAATGCAAGTCTGTGTATTTTAGCTAAGAATGGAATCTTTGCCATTCGTGGTTTCCTTGATTTTACACACAAATTCGTCTGTGTGCATATCTGCGCCATCACCATCACTAGATGGTCAGTCATGCATAAGTTTTATATTGACTTTCAGTTGAGCTTCTCTCTTTTTCCGTGTATTTAAAAGTTAGTTTCTATTTTAGGAATAAACTTACTAATATAAATATATACAATTGCTTAGATTTTATTTATGTGAGACAGAACTGTCATGCCCTATGATGGCCTCAGTGGTTGGGCTTGGATCCCAGAGCCCTGACCTCCATGCTGACCTCTTGTCGGGGTGCCCTCACTGCCTCTCTGGGTTCACACTGTGTAGAACTCAGGAGCCAGAGCCAAATACTGGGCCTGGGCCCTCTGCTTGCTGGGCAAACTGTGTACCCCACTGTGTCCTAATGGAGCTCATAGTGGCTGTTGCTAAGGAAGAGACTATTGTGTGCATCCTGGGGGAGTTGGCCAGGGCATCTGCCACTTCTGTGATGGGGAGGGCTCTGTGTGGGGAGATCTCTCGTTGGCAGCATGGCAGCAGAGGAGGCTGACTCAGACCCAGTGAGGCTGGGGTCCTTCATGTTAAATGTGACGGTGTGCAGGCTTCTGGGGCTCCCTGGCTTATCCAAGATTCTCTTGATCTCAGGCCCTGGCTCCAGGATATAGAGGGGGCCAACGCCAAGGACCTCTGCAACACAGCCATGCCCCGCTCTTCACCAAAAGCAGGTGAGATGTCCCCTGGAGGGTAGACAAGAAGCTGGGCCATCCGCTAGGGTGGCAGAGCTCTTCCTGTGAGTCCTCACCCAGTCCAAGGTTCCCGGAGCTGCAGGTGGGCTGATGTGGGGCTGCCCTGGGCACCTGCCTGCCCTATCCTGATCCTTTTGTGCCTGCAGGCAAGAAGCCCTGTGAGAGTGTCCAGTTCCAGCCCAACACGGTCAGCACCTTGGCCTGTCCACTCCTCTCCAACCTGGCCACACGACTTTGGCTGCACGATGGTGTCCCCGTCAACTCTTCAGCCTCCTGCCGCGTGCTGTCCACAGGGGATCTGCTGCTGGTGGGCAGCCGGCAGGCAGTGGGGCGCTTTGAGTGCTGGTCAGTGGAACGGGGCTTCCAGCAGCTGGTGGCCAGCTACTGCCCAAAGGTGGAAGACGAAGCTGGCGAGCACACGGAGCAGAGTGGCAGCGTGCCTGTGGTCATCAACACGTCCCGTGTGAGTGCCCCCGCGGCTGGCAAGGCCAGCTGGGGCACCAACAAGTCCTACTGGAATGAGTTCCTGGTGATGTGCGCGCTCTTTGTGCTGGTAGTGATCCTCCTCATCCTCCTCTTCCTCTACCGGCACCGAGATGGAATGAAGGCCTTCCTGAAGCAGGGCGAGTGTGCCAGTGTCCACCCCAAAGCCCATACTGGGGCCTTGCCCCCTGAGACACGGCCACTCAATGGTGTTGGCCCACCCAGCCTGCCCCAGGACCACCGTGGCTACCAGGCCCTATCTGACAGCTCCCCAGGGCCCCGGGTCTTCACGGAGTCTGAGAAGAGGCCGCTCAGCTTTCAGGACAGCTTCGTGGAGGTGTCGCCCGTGTGTCCTCGTCCGCGGGTCCGCCTGGGCTCAGAGATCCGGGACTCCGTAGTGTGACAGCTGACTTCTGGAAGAAGTCCCTCTGGCTTTGGGGGCGACCTGACCCTGCAGCACGCCTGGGCCCACATGCCCAGCACTTGGGAGCATTGGAGCAAGCTGGCTGCTGGCCCTGCCACACAGAGAGGCATGCCAAAGTTTCTGGCTGCAGAGGGGATCTGCCCAGGTGGCAGAAAAGCACTCCGTGTGAACTGAGCCCTTTGTTTAAACAAAATCGAAAATGTGAAATCAGGGAGAGACACGGACAGCTATGCCCACAGCTGGGCTGCTTCCCAGCCTTCCAGAGGCGGCAGGCAGTTCAAAATGACTGTTGGGGACCGAGCTGGTGACCCTTCGCCTTAGCCTGTTGCCCCATCTTGCTGTGTCACCACAGCTCTAGGGCTGGCTCTGCCAGCCGGCCGAGGACACATTCCTGGCCACCAGCATCTCACCTCAGGAAGCAGAGGGCTGGACCAGAACCACAGGGCAGGCCCCCCCCCCCACCTTTGGACCTCTCCAGCCTGTATCAGGCTATAGCTACATGAGAGGGCAGCCTGTGCCTGGGAAGGTGGGGGACCTACAGCATTTCCTGTGGGTGTATCCCAGGGAGCAAACTGCCTGCCTCCCTGCTGGGGAACTCATCTGTCTCTCCTACCACTTCTTGAGACTCAGGTCTGGCACCTCCCTGTGGCCCTCTCCCCACTCCTTCAGATCCAAGCCAGGCACCTCCCTGTCTCCTGCTCACCCTTCTCCCCTGCCACTGCCCCTCAACCTGCCCTCCACTTCAAGGGATATGACACTGCCCAGCCAAACATGGGGAGCCTGAATTCACGTGGGTTTTATATTTTTTTTAATTAAGATGCACTTTACTTTTTTTTTCTTTTTTAGTAAAATCTGAAGAATTGTTGTTGAATCTGAGCCCTTCCTCCTTGTAAGCCTGGTGCTTTCCAAAGCTAGTCCAATTCTGAGCTCACAGGGCAACAGTGGTTCAGAGCCAACCAAGGGAGAACATGGTGTTCATGGCTGGGGTGCTGGCCCTGGGGCTCCCCACTGCCCTAACAGAAAGCTCAAGTGAAGCAGAGGAGCTGGGACTTGAGCCAGCACTCCACTATGAGATGCACTGGTTTAAATCACTAGGGTACATGCCTGTGTCCTCTGCCCCCAAGACCACTATCATACCCCTCATACCTGTGTTACTTCCTTGAACTCAACACTGTTCCCATGGGGCTGAGAGCTGGGGTCCAGCTAAACTTCCCAATGCCCTTTTTAATTTTTGTTAAGATTTTTTTTTTCTTAAATTGGAAAGTCAGATATAGAGAGGACGAGAGACAGAGAGGGTCTTATATCCCCATTCACTATCCAAGTGGCCACCAATGGCCAGAGCTGAGCAAATCTGAAGCCAGAAGCTTCTTCAGGTCTCCCACGTAGGTGCATAGTCCCAAGGCTTTGGGCCGTCCTTAAATGCTTTCCCAGGCCACAAGCAGGGAGTTGGATGGGAAGTGGAGCTGCTGGGATTAGAACCGGCGACCGGCGACCATATGGGATCCCAGTGTGTTCAAGGTGAGGACTTTGGCCACTAGGCCACGCCACCAGGCCCTCTTGAGTGGTTTTGACAGCCCTGAGACGACACTGATTTTATTGCACCAGCATTGAGAAATCTTTCCAAGGTCTAATGATTGACCTTGAGTGCATCCACACACTTGCTACAAAGCTTGTCTAGCAAAATAGTCCAACCTGTTGTGCTTTCCATCCTTTGGCATGGCACTTGACATCCTCTGCTGGCCTAGATGAGTTGGCTGTCATGTTCCTGGTGGGTAGCTGGACTTGATGTTTGCTGCATAATCATCAGCAACTGAGGAGGCCCAGTCCCAATACATGCACTCCAAAACTGGACGATTACATTCTGTGATTTTCCCTCTGGCTGGGGTTTGAGTCCAGCATTCCCGCTGGGGAGTCCCCCAAGAACAGTCACCTGGGGTGACCTCAAACTTGACTCCTACATATACCAGCTAGTGTAGGGTCAGGTTTGGTCCATCACCTGCAGCAACCAATGCTCACACTGGTGGATGCAGCTGCTTCATTTCACACAGATGCTGTAGCTTAGCACACTAGCTAATGCCATGGCCTATTCGGGGTGACCCCAGTAACTTCCACCAGGCCTCCTCCAGCCTGTTTTTGTTTATGCTGACGTGCTGTGGTCTAGCCTTGACCAACACACTTCCCATTCAGCTCTCATGCACACCCGTGGGTGCTGCAGCTCACCCCAGTCCAACTTGGCCCACACGTGTGCCAGTGAGCACTGCCCCCTTGTCCAGTCTTGCCCGCCCCCCAGCCCTTGCTTTTGCTCAGCAGTGGGAGTTTCATCCTAACAGAGGAGTCCTGAAAGTCTTCCCTATTCAGACCATTCCCAGCCCCAGGTCTTGCATTTGCTGGTGAGTGCTATAGCCCAGTTTGAGGTGACCCACACCCAGCCTCGGCATTCACCAGCAGGTGCTGCAACTTACCTCAGCCTGGCTTGCCCTGAGACCTGGCCCACACATGTATCAGCGGGTACTGCGGCCCAGCGTGACGTGGCCCCCAGCATTTGTAGGCAGGTACTGTGGTCTAGTCCAGCCAAGCGTGCTCATCAGCTCCAGCCAGCAGGTGGCAGACAATGCTACTTAGCCCAGCTCAGGTGGACAGGTATCTGCTTGTCTCAGACAACCTCTAGTTCCCCCTATTTAAATCAGTCTCAGCTCCCTCACCTACCTAGAGTGGCCTGGTCTATGGAAGTCCCCAAAGTCGTCCTTCACTTGTCAAAGATGCCCTTGGCAGCCCCCACTCGCAACATGTCCCTAGGCTCCCTCCCTAGGCAATCTGCAGTTCCCCCTAAGGGATGTGGGTGGTACACTAGCTGGTATATGTAGGAGTATGTGCGGAAGGCCAGCAGCTACCACTCAGTGGCATGCAAAGTTTCCTGGCCCATTGGAAATAGTAACAGAATTGACATGAACCAGGCCTAGGATGCCTGGCAGCTATTAGCTGCTTTTCTCCCAGCAGTGTAATATTTGCCTGGACACAAGGCAACCTGGGCTCTTACCTACAGCTGGGGCCCCTTCTAAAAAGGTCCCCAATTCCTAGTTTGACTGAAGGCTCCTTGCCCCACGTTCTTAGTGTTGCACACAGGGATCAAAACCTCTAAACCTTTATTACTGATTAGTAGAAACAGAGCGATCGACAATGGCAGTGAGAAGGGGAAGGGCCCTGACAAGGAGGGCACTCCCCTGCTTGGGCCCAGACTGCTAGTGCCAGCTCCAGCTGGGCCAGCGTGGCCGGCCCTGGCACCACAGGTGTCCCTGGGGCTGCAGCTCCACCACAGAAGAGTGCTTGGACAGGGTGCTGGGTGCTTTGGCTGCTGTCACAGGACAATCTTGAAGGAGCTGAACAAGAGGGAGGGGTCGGCGGTTAGGTTTCTGTTGCAAATGGAGGGTAGGAGCAAGCTCAAGTTTACCCACCCTCTCAGCCCTCACAAACTGCTGTCTTCAGGAGGGGCAGTGGCCCTGCTGGTGTCCCTTCTTGAGGCCTTTCCAACAAGTAAGGCCCTCCTCTCCCATGTTTCACTTCTCGTGACAACGCCTCATCCCCAGCTGCTGCCTGCGGGGAGCCTGGGGTGGGGCTGACCAGACCTGGCAAAGTCCGGAGAACGCGAGATGACGTGCTGGAACTCAGACAGGTTGATGGTCCCGTCCCGATCAATATCGGATTCCTCCAGGATCTGGGATGGGGAGAGGTTCAGGGGGGCAGCCCTGGACCCTAGCCCAAACCTCCCTGACCCACCAACCGGGCCTCACGTTGTCGATCAGCTGTTTCATCTCGGAGGCGCTGAGGCGTGTGTCCTCACCCTCGCCTGTGAGGCAGTTCACCAGGCGACTCAGGTCTTCCCTGTCCAAGGTTCCGTCATCATCAAAGTCTGTGACACAGAGCCAGGAGAGCCCCCATGAGGCCGTGGTCAGCAGGTGCCCAAGGATTCCCCCACTGCCTCATCACAGGAGCCTGCAGGGTCCCTACCAAAGATGCGGAAGGCATAATGGGATTTGATGTCTGGGGTTGCTGTGTCACTGAACACGCTGAGCAGGTCCAGGAAGTCCTCGAAGCTCAGGCTATCCCTGTCTGGGGATGTGGAGAAGACCCTGCAGATTCTCTCCTTGAAGGGGTTGGCCTAGGGGGACAGAGTTACGGACACGGTTAGAGGGAGCAGGGCAGGGAGTAGACCACAGCACCCACACTGTGGCAGCCAGCACGGAGCACTGTGGGGGCCCAGCAAGGCTGTGCATAGCACAGGGATGGCCCCCCAGTTAACCCAAGGGTGGCTCGTTGATGATACAAATGGAGGCAGAGAAGGAAGGCAGTGGCGAGTTGAGCAAGGGAGATGAGAGGTTAGCTTTTCTTTTGCCTGGGGACATCAAGTTTTGAGTGTCTGATACTTGTCAGATCAAATCAAGGTAGCTGATAGAAACATTAATCATGTCTGCATCCTAGGAACTTGCGGACTCTTGTAGCAATTAGGAAAGCTGGGGTCCCTGTCTCATACCACACAACACCAGCACTGACTGTAGCACCTAACAGCCCCCCTCCACTGCTCTTCCAGCTCGTTCCCTCCCTCCAGGGACCCACGTCCCATTTGCTGCTTCTCTGAAGGACTGTTGAAGCTTCCTAGAACCTGCAGTATTTGCTGTTCTAAGCCAAGCTGACTTCACTTATTCCATCCACCAGGCAGGTTATGTTCAAACACAGACAGTTTGCTGAACTACTGGGTGTCGGGCCCCAGGTCAGGTCCTCGCATGTACAAACTTTCACAGCTGGCCTGCTCAGCTTGTCCTCCATGTCTACCATTTTATTCAAACTCCAAGAGGGTGTTTTAGACTTCCCCATGGGATAAGTTCTAGATCATTCTGCCGGGTGACTGGGGTAAAGCCTCTCCCAGCCCTACTCCGTGCAAGTTAGACCTAAATAGAAAGAGCGCGCAGAATGGGGGCCAACAATCCCCTGATGTCCAGGCTGGTGAGCCTCAGGAAGGGGTGAGGGACACGCACCTTGAGCTCGGGAAGGCTGAGGATTTGCTCAAAGGACACTCGCACCCGCAGCGACTCCTCCACGCTCCGTTGTTCCTGCGGGAGCAGCTCACAGAACCGCCGGTGAGCTCTAGACACAAGGGGCACAGGTGGGCGCTCTTACGCCTCTTCCCTGCCTGCTGCCTGGCTGCTGCCACTGTCAACAGGCTCAGAAGCCGGCCCACATCACACAGTAAGGGTGAGCTGGGTAGAGCCGCGTCCCCAGCACCCCAATACAGTAGGCATCGGCTGAGGCGGTTACTGCGGGCCAGGCACTGTGCTTGACATAAGACAGGGACTGGGAGGGCTGGAAATTTCGTTGAGTAGGGAGGGGAAGCCAGAATCTGACCCTGAAGAAGAAAGGAGCCAAACCCTAATTTGTTCTCTCCCCACACAGGATCTAAAGGAAGCCTCCTGCCTGAGACAGCTGCCTCCAGTCCTAGCGCCTGGTCTTGGGTGAGTCGCCCCTCCAAGGGCTGCGGGTGGCCACTGGGCTCACGAAGCGTTAACGGCTAATGCATCCAGCAGGTGCAGCTGCTGGGAAGAGAGGGAGCCAGGCTCTGCAGGGCTGCTCCCAGAACAGCCCGCCGGACAGGGGCCCCAACTCCGCGACGCGGAAGCCGGGGTGCCGGGGGTCAAAGGGCGCCCAGCTCCTCCTGGGGCCTGCGAGGTGGTTCCGCGGAGACAAAGGTGCGAGGGGTGGAGGAGGAAGACGAGGCCAGGCCGAACACGGAGTGGAGTAGGCGGCGGCCAGGCCGGACACCGGCGCCCGGCGCCGCGGCTGCCCCTCGAACGAACCCCAGGCCCGCTGCCCCCTCCGGGAGGTCGTCCCCTGGGAACGACAGTCGGAGGTGGGCACTTACAGGAGGATCTCCTGCTTGGTCAGGAACGTCAAGTCCTGGAAGGCAAACCACGATTATGGTCAGCGGGCCGCCGCCCCCGCCGCCCCCCGGCAGCAGGCAGGCCCCGTACGCGAGCTCCCCGGGGCGGGGCGAGGGGAACGGCGCCCCGCGCACCTGGTACTCGGCCAGCAACTCCTTGGACAAGCGGCTGCCCGAGCCCCCCATCGCCGCGTCGCGCGCAACGCTCCGCCGGCTCTCCGCGGGACGCCGGCAACTTTCTCACTTCCGCCCTCGGGCCGCGTCCCCGCCCCGTCCCCGCGGCAACCGCCTGGGGCTGCGGCGCCGGGCCCGCCCCTCCTTAAAGCGCCCTGACGCTTTTCAGCGGCGCCGAGCCGCGCAGCGCGGCGCTCCCGGCGGCTCCCGGAGGCGGGGCCCGGGGCGGGGCCGGGCGAGCTGGGGCGGAGCCCAGGCCTCACGGCCCCGCCTCCGGTGGGCGGGGCGGCCGAGTGGGCGCGCGGAGTGCGCATGCGTCGAGCGCGACGCGGCCCCGGCAATGGCTGCAGACCAGGTCATGCGTGGCGCCATCCTGGCTCGCGGCTGGTGCCCGGAGGGAGCAGCACCGGAGCAGCAGCCCTGGGCGGAGTCTGGCCGGAGCCGAGGGGTCCCGGAGACCCGAGCAGCTGAGTAGCGAGAAGGACGTCCGCTGCCGGTCTGTCCCGCGAGGGTTTTCCGGACCCTCCCTCAGACGGGCTGCTCCGGGTGGTCGCACCCCAGGCTGACCTGTTTGCTCTTGTCCTGTCGCTCTCATCAGCGCCCAAGCTCTAGGACAACGCCTGGCCCGTGGTGGACTCTGGGAGAAGTCTTACTTGTCAGAGGCGTGCAGGAATGAATGAATGAACCTGCACAAGCTGTGCAAGAGGTGAGGCTGCGGAGCTGATGGGAGCAGAAAGGGAAACTGGTTAATTCCCTAAACCTTCCAGTCCACTCTACATGCTAATCTTTATGAATTCTGAACCTGAGCATCTGATTGTCAGTCTAAGGCCATTGATGGTCACAAACCCATGTAGCTGGATTTTCTGCTCTGTCTCTCTCCCCCCACCCTTGGCCTTTCTGTCTTCCACCACAGCCTCTCCCAGTTGAGGTTAGGAGTCTGCTTAGGCTGGTGAAGTGGGACCCCAGGGACCCTGGGTGGTGAATGGGTTGGTGTATACTCTGTCCTGTGAGCTCTCGAAGGATCTGTGAGAGCCGTGTCCCCGGGGCCTGAGGAGTCCAGTGTGCAGTGGGTGTACACTGCGTGACAGTGCTTCTCCAAGCAATCCGCTGTAAAGTGATCCGGTGGCAGTGACCTTAGATCCAGCGGTCTACCACTGGGGGTGCCCGTAGCTGCAGTTATGCCAACACCACAGCCGGGCAAGCTTTGGCCTCATCTGGTCTTCTTGCTCTCCTGGTAGCTTCTGAATGTTCAAGGCGGAGTTGGTCTTCCGTGATTAAAAGAAGCCCTTGCTGAGTGTCCCGTGCCAGAGGACTGGATGGGAGGAGCACTGGGGGAAGCTGGGGGCTTCCCTGCGCAGTGATCCATGTCTTTCCGAAGTGGAAGTTTGGAATCTGGACTTGTGCTGGACAACAGCTGGAATCCTAGTCTCCTGGCTACGTGTGTGTGTGTGTATACATATGTATGTGTTATATATATATATATATGCACATACATACACACTTGAGAGCAGAGAGCCGGGGACTGGGCTGGCCAGGGCTGCGCTGGGAACCAGGAACTCAACATAGATCTCTTTCCTGTGGCTGTCCTGGACCCCGTTACTTGAACTAACCACCATGGCCCAGGGACTGCATTAGCAGAAAGCTGGAGCTGGGTATTAACTCAGTTGTCCTGATGCAGCGCAAGGCCAAACACCTGCCTGTTCCCTGCCTTGCTGGTACATTTTAATTTCATGTATATATATATATATTAAGACTTAGGGTTTTTCTATTGGAAAGGCAGATCAGATTTAGAGAGAGAAGGAGAAATGGAGAGAAAACTCTTCCATCTGTTGGTTCACTCCCCAGGTGACCTCAAAGGCCAGAGCAGAACTGATCTGGAATCGGGAGCTTCTTCCAGATCTCCTTCGGGGGTGCAGGGTCCCATGGCTTTGGGCCGTCCTCTGTTGCTTTCCCAGACCACAAGCAGGGAGCTGGATGGGAAGTGGAGCAGCTGGCATACAAACCAGCACCCATGTGGGCGCTGGCAAGGTGAGGATTGAGCCATCTTCCCGAGTTCTAATTTGGTTTTAAATTTTTGTTTATTTGAGAGAGACAGAGAGAGGACTTCCATCTGGAAGACTGATATTTGGAGTGCAGAAGTAGGGTTAATAAGAGTAAGGAGCGGAGTGGGGTGAGGTGAGAGACCAGGCACAGGTGACCCAGACAGCTCTCAAGCCATGTCAGGAATGTGGCTTCATTCCTATAGACCCAAGGTCACGGAGTGGCTTCCCACAGCAGCTGGGATGGTGAGCCACCCCCAGGCTGTGCCCCACACAAGGTAGACATGATCTCAGGAGTCCCTCTCTGGGTTTTCCTGCAAAGGTGTTTTTCCTGTTTCCTAAATGTGTAATCCTGTCATGCAGTCCCCACTAATTTGTCATTATGAAGTGTTTCGTATTCCTAACATGTTCCCGGCACAGTGGCCTAGCAGCTAAAGTCCTTGCCTTGAACGCTCTGGGATCTTATATGGGCTCCGGTTCTAATCCCGACAGCCCCGCTTTCCCTCCAGCTCCCTGCTTATACCATGGGAAATCAAAGGATGGCCCAAAGCCTTGGGACCATGCACCCGTGTTGGAGACCCAGAAGCGCTCCTGGCTCCTGGCTTCAGATCAGCGCAGCACTGGTCATTGCTTGGGGAGTGAATCATCAGACAGAAGATATTTCTCTCTGTATCTCCTCCTCTCTCTATATATGTTTGACTTTGCAACAAAAATAAATAAATAAATCTTTAAAAAAGAAATGCAGCAGCCAGGACTCAAACCAGCCACAGATACGAGCAGTGGAGTGACAGTATTGCAAGTGGTCACTTAAGCCCTTACACTATGACATTGTTTCCCCTGGTTAGCCTGTTCCCACCTTCCTGCCTTCGAGTGCTACCAGCATCCTCTATTCCTGACATCCAGCCCACCTCGTTGCTTGACCTGGTAACAAGCAAAAATTTATTGTGGTTTAAAATATATATATATATATATTTTTTTTTTTTTACTATATTAACCTTCTGTAAGTGTACTTTCAGTCAATCTGTTAAATATATTTCTCTTGTTTTATCCTCCAAGACTTTTGTTTTACAAAACTAAACCCTGGGAATGCCATTGGGGTGTAGTGAGTATGGCTGCTGCGTATGGTGCCAGATCCCATAGGGGCACCACATCGGGTCCGGCTGCTCCAGCCCCTATCCAGCTTCCTGCTTATGGCCTGGAAAAGCAGCAGAGAAAGGCCCAAGTGCTTTGACCCCTGCACCTGTGTAGGAGCCCTGAAGATGCTCCTAGCTCCTGGTGTCAGATCAGCTCAGCTTTGGCCATTGCAGCCATTTGGGGAGTAAACCAGGATATGGACGATATCTCTCTCTAACTCATTCAAGAAAAATAAGGTGATTTTTTTTTACAGGAAGTTATTTTTTAAAAAACTGAAATGTTATACCCACTAAGCTTGGCTTGACTTGTTTAAAAAAAGAAGGGTTTTTTGTTTTTGAAGGGATTATAGGAAGAGACAAAGTTCTTCCAGCTTTTGGTTCACTCCCCATACAGCTGCCAAGGTTGGGCCTGGGCCAGGCCTGAAACCAGGAGCTTCTTTGAGCTTCCCACATGGGCAGTGGGGACTCACACACCTAAGCCATCTGCTTTCCCAGGTCTTGGAATGCCAGTGCTGCAGGTGGCAGCTTTACTCGCTGTGTAACAGCACAGTCCCCTAGGTTGACTTTTTGTTAAAAAGAAACAAAAAAAAAAAAAGGTAATTAAGTCGTTTGAGAGACAGAGCCAGGAACCAGGAACTCATCCAGGCCTCCAGTGTGGGTGCAGGAGCCCCAGTTCCTGGAGTCGGAATAACTGTTACACAAGGCAGTCATCCTAACCACTAGGCTGAATGCTCCCTGGGGTGCAGTAAATGATGTAGATTTTCTGTCTTCCCTCTTTGTTTATCAGTGTCAAAGTGTCTAGACCAGCCCACAGACAGCCCAATGTGATGGTGTCACTGTCAGCCTCTTTCTACTTATATCCAGTTTTACCAGGTGCAGTGTTTTTTTTTTTTAAGATTTATTTATTTTTATCACAAAGTCAGATATACAAAGAGGAGGAGAAACAGAGAGGAAGATCTTCCATCCGATGATTCATTCCCCAAGTGACCGCAACGACTGGTGCTGTGCCGATCCAAAGCCAGGAACCAGGAACCTCTTCCGGGTCTCCCACATGGGTGTAGGGTCCCAAAGCTTTGGGCTGTCCTCGATTGCTTTCCCAGGCCACAAGCAGGGAGCTGGATGGGAAGTGGAGCTACTGGATCCCGGAGCTTTCAAGGCAAGGACTTTAGTCACTAGGCCCGCCAGGTGCAATGTTAACCGTTTGTGTCCGAACAGCCCACCTAAAGGTGAAGCGCCTGCTGGATCACTGCCAAGTTCCTCCACCAAAATAGCCGCAGCCAGGGCTCTAGGACCCAGAAGCCCTGCCAGGATCTCCTGTGAGTGGCAGCAAGTCAACTGCTCAAGCCACTGTCACATGTCTCCTAGGCAACTAAGCCCACAACTGGATCAGAATTGGAGGAGCTGGGATGCAAAACCCCAATATGGAAACACAGGTATCCCAGGCCTTGGCCTACCGCACTGCTCCACAACACCTGCCCTGGATTTTATTTTAAAGGGAAATTAAAATATAGCTGCAAAAATGGGTATTCAGCACAGCATTGTGTACAATAGGATAAAACAAACAGCATGGGGCCTGGCACCGTGGTCTAGTGGCTAAAGTCCTTACCTTGAATGTGCCGGGATCCCTTGTAGGTGCCTGTTCTAATCCCGGTGGCCCCACTTCCCATCCAGCTCCCTGCTTGTGACCTGGGAAAGCAGTTGAGGATGATCCAAAAGCTTGTGACCCTGCACCAGCATGGGAGACCTGGAAGAATCTCCTGGCTCCTGGCTTCAGCTCAGCTCAGTTCCGGCTGTTGCAACCACTTGGGAAGTGAATCAGCAGATGGAGAATCATCTTCTCTGTTTCTCCTCCTCTCTGTATATCTGACTTTCCAATAAAAGTAAATGAATTTTTAAAAAATAAAAAATAAATAAAAATAGGGCCTGGCGTGGTGTCCTAGTGACTGAAGTCCTCACCTTGCATGCACCAGGATCCCAGCTGAGCACAGCCCAAAACCTTGGGACCCTGCACTTGCGTGGGAGACCTGGAAGAACCTCCTGGTTCCTGGCTTCGGATCGGCACAGCACCAGCCATTGTGGTCACTTGGGGAGTGAATCATCGAATGGAAGATCTTCCTCTCTGTATGTCTGACTTTGCAATAAAAATAAAATAAATTTCAAAAATAAAGAAATAATCAAGATCCATCTATATTTGCAAACTAGGAAAAATGTAAATCATGATTTTTTTTCCTAGTTTGGAAATGAAGAAGTATATAGCTTTTTTTCCTGCATTAGGAGAATATATATATATATAAGAATATATATTCCTATATACATTGTCCCTCTGTAAATGTGTATATACATACACATGTATATATTTTATGTATGTGTGTATATATATGTACACACACCTCTATGACTTGTTTGAAAGGTGGAGTGACAGAGTTTTCCATCCATTGGTTCATTCTCTGATGCCCTCATCAGCCAGGGCTTGGCCAAGCCAAAACCAGGAACCCAGAATTGCATCTTAGCTCCCCCATAAGGTAGAGTTTTAA